GTGTTGAGAAACGCATCTATTTCATGCTTCTCCTTCTGGGGGCCAGGGTACATTCCAATAGCTCCTCCGAGGCAAAGAATCAGCCAGAGGTGGGAAGAGCACATCCTTTCCTCATTGTCTCTACTTTTCATCCAAGGGATGTTTGGGGTTCAAAACTCTCAGTTAAACCTGGGAGCTTCTTTGCTTCTTAGAAGAGGGGGAAATTGCATGCACTAGGCTTCGAGTATTTCCTGGTTCCATCAGTATGCGTCACACTCCTGCTATGTAGCATGTATTTGTTCTAAGCACTGTGGGCTCAGGAGCAGCCAAGTCCGGCCCTGACTCAGACCTGGCCTTTGTGCTGTCTGGTGGGAGAGGGACGTTAAGCAATTCTGAAGCTGTCATGAGGACCTTCAGGCTGTGGGGCTGAGAGGAACCTTTTCTGGGGACTTGGAGTGAAGCTGCAGCCTAAGTGGGGGTGGAGTCTTGTCAGCCGAAGGGCAGGCAAAGAGGGGAGGATTCGGGCCCCATGGAATCCCCGGGAGAGGTGCTCACTGGCTCGGATCAGAACAGTAGGCAGGGGTGGCTGTTTCTCTGGAGATGGGGACACCGGAACTGGGGACACTGGAAGCAGAGCAGGTCTTACTAGAGACTGCAGCTCAAGTATTCCATTTGGGGCACTTTTAGTTCAAGGTACCAGGGGCAGCAAAGTGGAGGTGCCATATACCAGGCAGGCATATGACTTTTCAGCTAAAAGTGGATTCAGCTCAATGATAAGGTAAGAATGATAGGAGCCTCTCTTTATCAGACAGAGCCCTGTGGGTGGTTCACAAATTGAGGGGTGCTATGCATGGAATTTTTCACTGCTAGACCATCTTTCTCTCTTTCTGTGACCTTCACAGTCATCTAGCCTTTTGGTGCGCCCCTCTTCTCCACATAAAACGGCGATAGTTAGGTCTGCTTTAGTGTAGCCAGGAGCACATGTTTAAGGATCCATTAAACTGAAAATAAAACATGTGGGGCTCTTTGAAAATAAGAACTATGTTAAAACAAGGAGTTATTATAGTGGTGCATAAGTCAATGAAAAGCAGAAATACAGCCCCAAGGCTCAGTATTGATCTTGGTCCCCAGTGCTTCCTGCAGCCAAATAAATCTGATGTTGCTCCCCACAAGTGCTGGCTGAGAGGCTGGCAGGTCTCCAGCTTCAAGCTTTCCCACCCAATCCCAAGGTTATGTCCTTTCTTGGCTCAGGCCAGCTCCGGCTGCCCCCCCCATCCCTGCCTGGCTGCGCTGGCTGCCCTTCCCACTTGTGCTGGTTACAGGGAGGATTCCGATTGTCAGGTTGGACCCTGGCCAAAAGTGGATGACCTTCTATTAAACTGGGGACAGGACCTCCCAGAATAGCAGAGAGGAGCTCTGCAGAACAAGAGGTGTAAGGAGGAGCAAAGGAAATGCTCGAGGCAGTTAGGGGCTTCCAACTTTGGGATGCATGAAGGATCCTGAAATGTGTTTCACTCACCCATTGTTCATTTACTTGCTGGGGAGATATTTACTGAGTGTCCACTAGTGTCAGGACCTGAGAAAGCCTGGGCAGGAGTGAAAAAGACAGTAGGCTTGTCTTCCTCAAATTATGATTTGACCTGAAGAAAAGAGAAGGATGCAGAGGGGGAAGGAAGTGCAGAAGCAGAAGGTGACTCAAACACTTCTGCCTCAGGCAGCCATTTGGCTGGGCATAGGTTTACTCTGGAGCACAGGTGCTGAGCGAAGTTCTGTTATGTCAGACATACATGTGGGCACGCTGAGACACCACTGTGAATAGGAGGAAGTCCTCAGACACTCGTGGGCTGCAGTTGAACCTGGACATTCTCAGCGCAGGGCTCGATGTGAGCAGCCAGGGAAAGGCACAGATTGTGAGGGGGTACAGGACCAAGTTCCCCTCACTCCAAGAAGTGCTGGTGTACACACAGGAATGACTAGTGGAGACAGGAAGGCAAGGAGGGATGGTACCCCCAGAGCCCACAGAAACTAAAGACCAACTACAGGGGCTGCCATTGATTGACAGTCATTGCAGTGAGGGAGGCCGAAGGCAGGTTTGAGTGGGAAGAGGAACGCATTAGAGACGAGGAGCAAAGATATCAGGGGACAACTCTTTGGAGAAGTTCTGCTGTCAACCTGGACAGAGAGATGGAGAAGTGCTGCTTGCCTGGGTTCCTATGAACAGGAGGAAATTCTCTCCCTCATTTGTAAGCCTCTCTCCCACTCTGATACACACAGGACTTGATCTTGAATACCTAGAATAGTCCCATGATAAACTTTGGCTGATGTACATGATAGCTGTGATTTTCATTCCTTTCCCTTTCAAGAAAGCTTCCAGGAATGCACATTAGAGTAAAACTGGGATACCCAGGCCTCTGCTGATGTTTTAAAGAAAGATCACAATCCAGCTGCTACATATTACCCACAAGCAAAGGACTAGCACAGCTCACGACTGACCACACATCACGTGTTACTGTTAGCTGAGAAGTGTGGTTCAGACTTGGCTGGGTGCTATTCATTCATTCACCCGCTCACTCTCTCACCACAAGTATTGTCTGAGCACCTGTGTGTTAGGAGCTTGTGCCCTGGCAACTGGGGAGCTCTTGTGAACAAGGCAGCCTCTGCCTTCAGTTCCAGCCCACGGGGAGGACATGCATGGAACAAGCAACTTCCGGGGCAGAAGCATCGATAGCATCACTGGGGTCCCCAGCTGGTCCCTGGGCTCAGCAAGTCTCTCTGAACAAGTACAGGTGAGTAAGCAGAGGAGTGCATTACTGCGGCTCCCGCTGGGCTGGATGCCAGCCCAGGCAAAAGTGAGGGAGCCCATGTTGGAGGCAGCTCATCTCCACTGGGGTCGGTACCTAGAGGCAGACTGTCCAGGAAGTGAGGCTAGGAAAAGGGAATGCAGTGACAGATAATGACAGGTAGCCAGAGGTAGCCAGGGGCCAGATGTGCATGGCCTGGGGCTGCAGCCAGGAGCCTGGTCTCAGGAAAGCATCATGAAGTGTTCTGAGCTTGTTTTGGGCATGGCTGTGGCACACAGTTTGGTCAGACTTGTTCTAAACAAGCCCTTGGTGCCCAATGAGTGGGCTGCAGTTGTATGGAGAAGGTGGCAGGTAAGTATCTCCTGGCCTCAGGCAGGGAAGGCGCTGTGTCCCTTCCAGCTCTGTTTGATCAAACATGGCTGAATACTGTGAAGGAGCCAGGGCTGTGGTCAAGGCCAGCCTCCTGCTTCTGTGTTCTGTCTGTGAAGCCTGCTCCTGCTCTTCCTTTTCTTTTCCCTCCCAGCTGAGAAAATGAAACAGGCTAGCTTTGGGCCATTTTCCACGGGGTGGGGACAGATGCACAGACCAAAGTATACTCACCGAGTCATTGTGAGCACAAGGATGTGGTAATAAGAGAAAGGAAGGCTAGAGGGCCATGCAGGGCCAACAGGAGTGACCATGGCATGGGCAGATCGCAGGTGGGGTATGATTACAACCCGGGGCGGCAGTAAAGAAGTCCACTCAGACTTGGTGGTGCATAAAAGGCACCTGGGGACTCCTGAGCCAGGAACATGGTGCACTCCCGTAATCCCAGCTATTCGGAGAAGCTGAGGGAAGACAGTTGAAATTTTGAGGCCGCTCTGAGCAATTTAGCAAATCCCTGTTTCATAATAAAAAGTAAAAAGGGCTGGGGTGTAACTTAGTGACACACTGCTTGTTGAGGGTGCAGGAGGCCATGGGTTCAATCCTCAATGAAACAACAAAAGTAAAGTCCTTGGAACGCTCAAGGAATGCCGATTCAGCAGCGCTGGGGCCCTGCGTGAGGCTTAGAAATGAAGGAGAGATCCTTCTTAAGCTCACAGAAACCGAGGCAAGCAGCATGTCCCCATTTTTCTGCCCAGTTTGGCAGCAAAACATCCCGAGTCTTCCTCGGATGTCTCTATTTTCATGAAGCTCTCTTCACCAAGGTGATTCTGAGCCGCAAGCCCGACGACCTACCTTCTGCGAATGTTTCAACGGCTGGCAAGCTCCTTGGCTTTGTATCATCTGTTCCTTCAGCTATCTTGCACCAGGATGGCCCAGAAAGTCGTCTCAGTCCTGCAGGATTGTAAATAACTACATTCTGCTCCCAGACGCCCAGGCAGTCCGGCGGGCCGCAAGCAGCTCGAGGCCGCCAGGGGGCGCCAGAGGCCTCGGCTGGCG